CATGTCTAATCCTCTTAATACTGGTACATCTGGTCTTGTTGGATAACGGAACTTAACCGCCTGGAATTCAACTTCAGAGTTACATACTTCCTGCAAACAAATTTAACAGGAAGTATTAGAGTTATAGCATTGTAGGAATAACTTTCGTACATGACCATACAGACAGTCACACATATGCTACATCTACCCAAAATGATATTATCGGAGCCCTATGGCTCGAGTGAGCGAAAAATGGCTGGGTATTTGCGTTCAGCTTGAGCCAAGTTTGTCTCTAATAAACCTTTTTGGTTGAACTCTGATAAGATTGGGATCCTTACATGGCTCTGACCGTGTAAACGCATTGCGCCGAAATCACGCCCTCAATCGACTCTTTAAGTTAGCTCTCATTTTAATTATGGCGGGGACAACATCGTTTGTAATATCACATAATTTTTGGCTAGATGAAAAGATACACGCCCTAATATCTATTTGGCAGAGTAAAGAAATACAGCAATTGAGTGATAGAATGGGAAACATGTAAACGCATTGGAGTTAATCTGTTAATCGATGGGAGGAGCAGTAGTACAGCTCCGATAGAATACAAAGAATTATCCCCTATATACACCTTCAAAAATCAAGAACTAATTATACGAGTTAAGTTCAAGTTAAAGTTCAGCTTTTATACATATATAAACAAGTCATTGAAAATGACACAGTCCCTGTTAAGTTCTCTTTGTGCTTGTCATATTAAAGCGGAGGGGTTGTCGCGAGCGTGTCCTTGAAACTTGAGTTCCAAGTGGCGTATACAACAGATTGTTTGTTTATTTACATCAAAACACGTGTTTCGTGTCATAGTAATATGGCCAAAATAAAAACAGCCATTATTCAGCCATCTTTGATCTGATTATGAAACACACTGATATGTATGACGTATGTGTCAAATATGAATGAAAATGGTACATAAATTGTGGAAATATAGTAGTAAGGCCAAAAATTCAGATGGCTGTCAATCGGCCATCCTTGACCAGATTTTGAAACAAATTGTCATGGACATGCATCCTAACATGTATAAAGTACATGTATGTGCCAAATTTGAATGAAAACTGACAGAGCACAACCAAGATACCGCATAAAAAAACAAAAACAAGATGCCTGCCAGTCGACCATCTTTGATCCAATTGCGAAAAAAATCGTCATGGACATGTACAATCTATGTACCAAGTTTGAATGACAACAGACCAGGCATGTCCAAATACAACATTTTCAAAAAACAAGATGGCTGCCAGTCGACCATTTTGAATTGAATCGCTAAACCACTGCATGTGCATATGTCCCACATAAGGTACTAGGCACATGCAAAGAATGAACGGAATCGGTCCACAGGATTCTGAAATATGACGTTGGATAGACTGACGCACGAACAGACAGACACACAGACGGTCAGACGGACAGACTCAGGAACTCACGGACAGTCGGGGACATGTATCCTAACATGTATGATCTATGTACTAAATTTGAATGAAAACTGACAAAGCATGTCCAAAATACGACATTTTCAAAAAACAAGATGGCTGCCAGTCGGCCATCTTTGATCCAATTGTGAAATAAATCATCATGGACATGTATCCTAACATGTATAATTTATGTACCAAGTGTGAATGAAAACTGACAAAGCATGTCCAAAATACAACATTTTCAAAAAACAAGATGGCTGCCAGTCGGCCATTTTGAATGAATCGCTAAACCACAGCATGTGCATACGTCCCACATAAAGTACTAGGCACATGCAAAGAATGAACGGAATCGGTCCAAGGGATTCTGAGATATCACTCCGGACGGACAGACGCAAGGACGCAGGACACACGCACGCACAGGCCGAATTATAAGTCCCCGTTTTCGGACTTGTCCGAACGGGGACTAATAAAAGTGGGTGACATTAACTTACTGGTTTCAGTCCTTCGGTGCTAGAACTGTCTATTTCAGGTTCTCTATCCAACATCACGAATATGTTATTAGCTGCTGATTTAGCTTTGGTTGCATCAGGCGCGAACGCACTTGCTTGACCCAATGCCATGGCACCAAATGCAATAGCAGAGAACACACTACAAGAGACAAAAATTATGGTAATACAGTGTCAGAAGAGTCAATTTAGGAATCCTAACTAATTTGTTACTTGAATGTCAAGGCAGCATTTAGCATGTTAGCATTGACACCTGCAAAAAAAGGTCGCTAGTTGGTCAAAGGTCAACAATGTATGCCATTATGACTTGTCTTTGTACCAACTTTGTACAAAATCAGGTTAAAACAATTATGTTGGACAGACAAACTGTAAGTCACTGCTGTTTTTTTTTTTTTTGCTTCATTTAAACAATAGAAAACAAGCGACCTGACGGTCGAAATAGCTCTGCTGTCTTCATTATCATGGAACAAGAATATGAGAAAAATGTTCACTAAAAATCCAAATTTGCATATTTTGACACCAATTTGACAAATCTGACAGAGGACCACCCCATGTATCATTGTTGGAAATATGAAAGCATTTGGACTTAGGGTTTCAGACTAGTTGTCGAAAAATTTAATTTTTTACCAAAAATGACAAAAATATTCACTAAAAATCCAAATTTCCATATTTTGACATGAATTTAACAAATCTGACAGAGAACCACCCATTTGGTACAAATATGAATGTAATTGATCAAGTACTTTTGAAGTCGTGCAAAGGAAAACTTCACGCGGGACACAGGACGGAGAGACCCCCATACCAACAGCTCCGCTGGGTCATCGCGATGACAGCAGAGCTAAAAAGTTGTGAGCAGCCCTTTAATAAACTGCCGCATAACTAAACTCAGCTTCTAAATATGAAGATGTCTTTGTTACTTACAGAAATACATCTTCAAAATCCATTTCTCCTAATTCAATCATCCAGGCACCAAAGCGAAAGGCTGCAGCGTGCACAAAATAAATCATACACTGTGAGAAACCAAAACTTAATCCATAGATATGAGCTTTTTTTAGACCAGCTTTATATGGTGGATATAAAGAATCATGATATAGTTTATTAAAAGTCTTCTCTCTGTTCAATGACACAACAGTTCTGATGTTTTCAATGGCTTCAGATGCAATCTGCAATAACAAAATTATAAACATAGTTGAACTCTAGTGACCTTGCCCTTTGTTATATAATATTATTCCCTTTATCATAGTTTGTTTCAATATGAATATGCATTGTTATAATTAATTTTGAATACAAACAAGTTTTGGGGTTGAAACAAGAGTTGGAAAGCAGCCTACCGAATGTCCTTGAAAGCTCTGCTTTGTATGCAAATCAACTTAAATTGTTAGTTGGTGTCCATTGGAGAGAGAAGTCAACAGTACTGTTGCCTCCTGAGAATCTACATCTTCAAACACGGCAATCTTTGTTTGTGTGTCTTTAAATTAGTATTATAAAAACAATCATTCTGTTCTAATAGGTGAAACAAAGTCCTGTGAATTTTCATTTGTCGAATGAACTGTTGTCAAATACAGAATACCTATTTTTGAGTACAATTTTCTTTTCAAAATGTGGATGCAACATTTTGCTTTTTATGTATTTTTTATGTATTGCACGTTTATGATTTGATAACTTTGGACTAAACAGATTTTCTATTAAATTCAGATCTTGATCAAAGTTTGGCACCCAATTCATAGGAGTGTTTATATTGATTATTTGACTTCTTGTTTTCTGTGAAGATTTTATTGGTAGGTTTGCAAATGTGTATCAAACTGTGCAAAAACTCTCTCTATGAGTTGGTTTTGAAACCTAGTCTAGTATTTCCATGGGATTTGGGAGATACATTACAGAGGATATTATTACAAGATAAATGATTTGCTTCATTGAACACATACAACAATGCATATTTCCACTGAGATCAGTGACCTTTGAATGTGTATCACCAGTGATCAGTCAAGTAGAAATAGTCAAAATATTTTATCAGATTTTCTCAATTTTTGCATGATATTTTCATACAGGACAACTGTTGTTCATACTCAGGGAAGACTTTATATTGATGAATAAGGTGACCAAGTTTGATAAAGTTTGGAATAGAATTAATTATTGAATAGAAGTTATTGTGCACACAATAACAATTATTAACGACGACAACAACAACAACAACAACAACCGACGACGACGCTGGACAAAAATCTTTCCCTTAATATAACTTTTCCTTCCATCTTTGATGTTATGGGCAAGGTAAAAATGTAATACATGTAACAAAATGTGTATTTTCTACTCTGGCAGATCACACTTTTCACTTAGCCTATACAGTCTATGCGCCTGACAAAACATGGTGAAACCCACTGGTTAATGTGGCTAACTGACATTACTGCGCAGTAACATTATGCATTCAAATTTTAAAATATTGTGCATTCAATTCATTTTTTTTTAAATAAACACATGTGATTGTTTATGGCCGTTGTGGTTTGAAATGAATAATATCTAACCTTCTGTTGTTTAGTATCTTATTCACTGTGCAATACTAGTACACTTGTTTGAGAAAATGTAACTCATCGTTCTGCCAAGTCTTAACTTAGATTTCCTGCAGAGACACATATGTGCATACTGTGTTGTATACTGCTATAAAATTTCACAGACTAGCTAAATTCAAGCAGTTAACTGTATATTACCAGTAGTATTAGGCTTTTTAAAAATAGACATTTGTTTTATAACAATTAGTTGATTTTTTTCACTATATACTGTCAACAAATAAAGCACACAAATAAAATTATGACTCTAACCTTTCCAGCTTCTTCCAAAGCTTCTTTATCTTTGTTTGTATACCCGCTAAGAACATTCATTTCAATAGCACCACCCACAGCTACAAAAGGCACACATGCTAAGACAACAAGGGTCATCTGCCAACCAAATACGAAGGCTATGATGATGCCAGTACCCATATTGGCAACAGATGATATAACCGTAGCAATACGTATACCAGCAGCCTAATAAGTAATTTAAGATTTTATTAACAATAATGTTTATTAACAACTTGCTTCATTCACATGGGTTGAGATAATGGTTGTATAAACAAAAACTACAAAAAAATACAGGCAAATCAGAGTAAATTAGGGTTTGATGACAGAAAACATCTCTTTCTATGTACTGCAGTATTGCATGTACTAACTAACTGTATGCAGTGATTGTCTTCAAATACAACATGTTCAAAAGTTGTTATTAATATTATATTGTAGCAGCTATTTAACAAGCAGCTATCGGCTGAGATAGCTCCGCTGTTAGAAATGCACATTTCAATTAAAGAACTGAAGACATCATCAGAAAATGAACAATATGTATAGTATCAAAGCAATCGGACTTACAGTTTTTAACAAGAAGTCCAA